AGTTGACGATTAGTCCTCGCTATTTAAATGATTTAGTATCCTTGCTTGATCGATTTTCTCAAATTCAAAGATTAGCAGCCAACATTTACTATACACTCTATAAAAAAAACGTGTTGTTCGTGTTTCCAGGAAACGAGTTGATGATCTTATTTAAGTTCTTTGAAATATGAAGAACTTAATTTCTATTTTACAATAAAAAATGAGTTTTCATTCATTTCAGTTTTTCGATTCATTTTAGCTTTTCCGAAATTTTGTTTTCCAAGATTTGGAAAACACAATATTTCTTTTAAGTTCTCTGATGATCTCGAAGTTGAAAGATGAAAAGAAAATCACATATTTCAATCACTGCTTTTGTTTTGCGATTCCTAATGTATATAAAGGACATGATCTTTTCTTAGAGAAGCTTAAGCATAGTCTCTAAAAGTTCTATTTATATACAACAATGTGCACACTTCTAGAACATGTTTGTTCTTGACAGTAGGGTTCTAAAATTTCACTCGAAGCCAACGAGTCGAGTACCTACTATTTGGAACGTGATTCGATCCGGGTCGAATGGGGTTCTGAATGACGGTTGAGTTAGGATGTAGATCACATAGTTTTCTCTATTTGTGCAAGTTTCCAGCTGACAATATTTATACTGAATAAAAGAATAATTCTACATATGATCACAGATATCGTATTGATTAAAAAAATTGGGCTGATGAAAAGAGAAAATAAGGTCCAGATTTTCGAAGTACACAGATGTTTTTTTGACCTAATGTTTTCTGGAGAACAAATGTCCCAAATAAGGACCTAAAAAAACGAAAAACTGAATTACTGTTCTTCAGGAAAATGAAAAAATCAGTTTTGCAAATTTTCAGAAAACTCACGTCAGATCTCTATTTGGGACGAATGAAAAGTGTGCCTGTTTACGGCGTGTACATATGCATGATTACGGAGTGTACGGCGTTTATTACCGAAAAGAGCGAGATTTCTTCAATATCTCCAGTATCAAGTTTTCGATACATGAAGTTATATCTGGGTCTTCATATATCATTTGAAAAATTTCAATTATTTTGTGAGAAACTACCAAATGTTCAACATTTATCGTGTACAGGTAATATTTTCGTCTATGCATCTTTACTATGATATCGCACATGCTTTACACTATTTTTAGCCTGTCATTTATCATTTACGGATGAACAAAGGTGGGAAAACCTCATAACGAAACGTTTTCCTTCATTGTCCCAAATTAATTTATTATTTAAATTAGGGCTGGGCAACTCCAACTCCGGAGTTGAGGATTTTTTTGTTGGAGTTGAGATTTTGATTTTTTATTCTCAACTCTGTTTTGCATTTTTGAAAATATGCAAATAACGTCCACGACCTTGTCCTTCTCAATAGTCATCAACCCCATAATGCTGCTATGAATATTTCGATCCATTACATGTGTTCAGGGGTGAAAATTTTTTACTTGTTAAAAAATATTATTTTAGTCTTTTAAAAATATTTTGATAAATAAATATGAATTTAAAAACGACTAACCACATTTAAACTAATATAATACTTTTTAAAAAGTAAAAGATTTTCACCCCTGAACACATATAATGGATCGAAATATTTATAGCAGCATTATGCGGTTGATGACTGTTCAAAATGACCAGGTCGTAGACTTTTTACGTATCGTTGTCGTCAATTTCGAGCTATTATTAAGTGCACCTCGAACTGAAAGTTGTTGTAAAGCATTCTTTTGGGGAGCTTGAAAGCGCTGCGTACACGTTGCTCTGAAATGTCATATTATGAGATCGTTATTTGTACTTAGTCCATCCTCAACAAGAGCTACATCAACGCTGTTACGGTACGAAGATCAATCAAGAAGTTCATTGTCAATGACAATTTTCTAGGCAAACTTTTGAAAAAAGACACGCATGTGTTGCTACTAGAACTTATCGAGATTCAGAATGTTTGTTTCCTATATATCCTCTGCAAACTCTGCTTTCGAAAAGATGCAGTCATGTTTCCTTATCCGTGTGGCGACATGCAAAGAGGTCTTATCGAAAGTTATTCAAAAAGTGATCACACGCAGCATATACTTTGAATATCGGGTACTTCTTAATTTAGACCGCTCCCTTTTGCACTCACGCTCACCTTGCATCACACTCTCTGATCTTTTTTTTTGGTCTGAATTAAAGACTTTCAAAATGTAACAATGAAGTTTCGAATCATTAATCATCTATTTCTAATCTATCATGCTTTTCCTGTTCATTATATTATCTTTTTTAACAATTGCATGAATAGATTGTAACATCAGGATTTTTTTCTTTACAATTATAAATTAGTCACTTACGAAAGTATAATATTCAGAACGAGAAAAATGTACTCATTAAATCTAAACGTGATTTTTGGTTTCATCAACTGTTTGACTATGTCATTTTTTCCAAAAGTCTATTACATCCAATTCTGAAGTAAACAATCCATGTAACTTGTTTGAATTATAAATATGATTTTCTATGAAAACGTATTCGTTCTCATTCTGATATTGACTGGGACAATTTTTCGATGCGGTATACTATTTCTGCAATAATTCATATATCTCGAAATTAATTTCAATAGTTCTTGTCTAAATGTACGTGCCGTCAAGGTGTAAATATAAAAGGCGATGCAGAATGGTAAATAGAAGAATATGATGGCAATGTAAGATATAAAGTTTTGAACAGCAATTGCATTCGGTTCAGTGGTGATTGTACGAAAAAATGATAAATACATGAGACCACTTGTGTAGAGACTAGTGAAAATGATATTCACTAACACTTGAGAGAATAACATGAAGATTAAATGATAATCGTTTTGTTTTAATCGACGAGTCACTGTTGTTCTAGCTTGACGACGAATTTGTCTGACATTGTACAATGTTAAAAAGCCACATATAATCATTAACACAGGCATCAGAAACCCGGATATGACAAGATTATGGATGCTGATAAACAGGGCGTAGACAGGTGAGGAGAAAAAACAGTATACATCTTGGATGAGGTCACTGTAAACAAGACTGTGTATTGAAATGAGAAACCAGAACAACGCCACAGTCGGTATTAGGCACCTGGCCACTTTTAAAGAACTGAATTGTCGACGTTTGACACTCGATGATGATATGGCATACCGTTCAATACAGGCAAGCAATATGTAACTTTGTGACAGGAAACCAAAGGCGTTGATCGAATAGTTCCTGATTTTGCATATAATAGATGAGGAGTTAAATGGATGAATCTGGTAACCGTAATCAAGAATATTTGACAAAAGGCCGACATTCACTAGAAATATGTTTGAACACGATGACGCTAGGAAATACCAGGAACAAGGATTGGTGTTTAACGTTGGTTGTAGGAAAATAATCCCGTTCAGAATACATCCAATATCACCAGCAATAAGTAAAAATGTTAATCCATAATGGGTCATCTGCCTTTGAATTATGGCTAGTGACAGAACTAGATTTTGCTCATCTGGGAAGAATGTTGAGTTTGATACACCAGCCATGATTGCGATAAATCCGTGACAAACACTAATGGATATTCTGTATTTATCCGCTCTTTTCTGCGTGATATTAACAAAACATTTTTCTCTTTCTGAATATTATACTTTCGTAAGTGGCTAATTTATAATTGTAAAGAAAAAAATCCTGATGTTACAATCTATTCATGCAATTGTTAAAAAAGATAATATAATGAACAGGAAAAGCATGATAGATTAGAAATAGATGATTAATGATTCGAAACTTCATTGTTACATTTTGAAAGTCTTTATGTTATTTAAAAATTTTAAGTGCGTATTCGAAGAAAAAAATTGCGCGGCTCTACTTTTTTCGAAAAATACGCGATATCTCAGCTCCAGAGAGTCGGCAAACCTTCGGAATGATATTTTCGGAATCAGTGGATCAAACTGGGTATATAAAAGTGTCTTTGAAGTTTTTTGAGTCGCGCGAAGTGCTCCAGCAAAATAAGACCTCCCCGAACCCTCTACGCCTTTCGGGTCAACACATAAGTGCAAAAAACTGAAAAACCCGATTGCAAATCTTTTTCGATAATGGGTGAGAAAGCAGTTCAAGTGACTGGAGCACTAATCAGTGCACTTGGTCAAGAGAACAAGTACGGCCAAAGTTATGCATGTGTGGCTCTCGTAAAAATGGGTGGAAAAAGAGCAACTGTTGAATTGATTGAAGCCCTAGTCACTGCATTTGGTCATGACAATGAGCATGTAAGAATTAATGCATGTAAGGCTGTTGGGAACTTGGAAAATATCCAGTCTTATTTTGTTCAGAATTCGATTCTTTACCGATTTGAGCTGTTTTCAAAAAGCTTCGATTTTGAAGAGTTTTTCTGGAGACTCGATCTCTATAAACTCCTTCGAAGGTTTTTGAAAATTTCGAAATTGGGGCGACCAGGTGCCCAATGGCAAAGGCAAAAAACCCTACTTTTTAAAGTATTCACCAAAACCTTTTTTTATTGTGGCATGATTGTAGCCCGCAAATTTCCGATTAAAACGAGGTCAAAGAAAAGCCCTAAATGCTCATTGTCAGCTCAAAGCTACAGAAATAAGAAATTAATTTAGGGCTTTTCTTGTAAATTCTATAACTTTGCAAAGAAAGGTTGTGCAGAGCTGGGAGATGTCTCATTTTAATCAGAAATTTGCGGGCTACAATCATGCCAAAAAAAAGGTTTTCGTTATTTTTTAGAGTTCCTGAAAAACTAGTTTTCTACAAAACCGGGCCTTCAAGAGCCGTCAGCAGATATCCTTTTAGGTGTTTAACTAGCTCGATACCCTCTATCGATCGACGTATGAACGAGCAAAATCGGAATGTATCACTTGAATAGGTTTCCTAGTTAATCTAAATGATTTACCTATTGAAACAGATTCATCAGTTGTTTTCTTTCGTCTCAAATTATTTCCAATAATTTTCATACCATAACCATTATTTATGAGTGCGTTTAACAATGATGATGGTATAGCGCCCGTTTTTTGCATACTTAGCATTTTTTGTTTAAACAAATACTTTGTCGACCAATTCGACAGCCCTCGATACTCATTCCACCATTAACACATTTTTGAAATCGACATGCACGACTCATATTTCTTGTTGATGTATTAATTTCACAATTATTCGACTCTAAACACTTGTAACGTTGTGGTGTACGTTCTTTTATAGTACGCCGAAAAAATCTCTTGCATCCTTCGCAAGTTGTCTAAAAAAAATTCAAATTATTTTTGATAAATAATTCTTAGTTATATTTGAGTAAATGGAATTACTCACAGCACCAAAATGTATTCCGGAAGATGGAGCATTACAACGTGCACATAGAATTTGTTTAAAAATATCTTCAATTTTTGGATTTGGACTTTCCTCTAAAAGAAAAAGAAAATCCTACGTATGATTAATTACAGTATTATAAAAACTATTAACTCTACCATTTGTTTTCATTCCAACTTCAATACATTTTTGATGTCTACAATACTGACATTGTGTTCGAGTACTTCGAGTAACTTGACATCGTTTATGCACATAAACTGTTTGACTACTTTCCTGTCTGTATAATATCAAGATATAGAAAAAGAAGAAAATTAGAATGAGATAAATGGATGTATGATGTATATGTTGCAGGCAAACTTAAAATTCAGTCAAATTTAAAATCTGCCTAGGCAAAATTAAAATTTTAATTCTGCGTAGGCAAAACTAAAATTCTAATTTTGACTAGAGATTCGCTAGGCAAAATTAAAATTTTAATTATGACCAGGCAGATTTTAAATTTAACCAGGCAGAATTAAAATTCTAATTTTAACTAGGCAAATTTAAAATTTGACTGAAAGATCTCTAGACAAAATTGAAATTGTAAGTATGACTAAAAATAAGTAGGCAAAATTAGAATTCGACATTATTTTCATGTAATGTCGAGTTTAATCTAAACACGATGAAAAGTAGATCTATTGAATAAATTTAACACGAATAGATAGTACCATCACATACACGGGGTTTTGGGACTTTCTTTTTTTTTGTTTTTATAAATTTTTGTCCCCCTAAATAGAATTTCACAAATCAAGATAATACTGCCGAAGAGAATC